GGAGATCAGTTTCCTCATTTAACCAGAGTCAATGCTCAGGAATGCAGAGCACAGTGCCAGGTGCCATCCTGTAATCCCAGCAGTGGGGAGGCTGAGCTGAAGGACCCGAGATGGCAAACGCAGGGAAGAGGCTCCCGCCCAGCCTTGGAAGGGTCGCACTGAACAGGCTTTGCAGGTGGCTGCATGTGGCCACAGGCCTTTGAATGACCTTGGGCAAGTCCTGTGCTTCCTGGACTCAGTTTCCTCATTACACCAGAGTCAATGCTCAGGAATGCAGAGCACAGTGCCAGTGCATGCCTGTAATCCCAGCATGGGCGAGGCTGAGGCTGAAGGACCCTAGTTCGAGCCAGCCTGGCTAGGGTACATTGGAAATGGTTTCCACCCAGAGATGGCCCAAGCCTGGCTTCTCAGCCTCAGCAAAAGACCCTAAACATTCTTAGGTAAGAGAGGCACCGCAGATTCCAGAAGGTCAGGAAAGGGGGTTCTCCTGTCTCCAGGAATGTCTGGATTTTGACAGCGAAGGGAAGGTGCAGAAACAGATCCAGTAACTGGGGATGAAGTGCCTGCCCCATGACAAGGGCTCTGGTTTAAAATGAAGTTGCTCTAAGGGATAGTCACCAGAGCTCTTTCTGGCAGGCCCGGGTTGTAGACAGGGCTATAAACTGAATAATATAACCCGATCACAAATGGAGATTACTTTGTAAACTGTCAAAATGCAAATAAAAGCGTGTTCTGGACGCCTCCAACCTGGTCCCGGGGAGGGGTGCACAGAGCTCCCACTAGCACAGCTCGTGACGTTCCCCTCAGACTGCAGCAGACAGCCATGAGCCATGTGGAACACCGGGGGCAGAACAAGCCAGTCAGGACCCCACCTCCCCCTCACACCGGCCAGGACCCAGACTGACAAATGCTCTCACTGCAAACAGACTGGTCTGGGGGGAATGCAGGAGTCGTTAGGGTCAGAGCCTGGCATGCCTCGGGGAGCCAGGCAGCCCTGGGGGGGAGCAGTGGAGGGGGCACGATTTGTGGAGAGGGCTTTCTCCTGTCCCTGTCCCTGCCCCTCACCATCCTCCATCATCTGCTCCAGTTGTCTGAATGATGTCAGAGACCCCATCCCCCATTTGAGCACTCGCTGGTCCAGACTATATAGACATGAGTTTGCATTTCTACGGTTTGTGAGTGCCCTGTCCCCATAACTGAAACTCTTAGAATTAATCATTGCTGATGTCACCATTATGAGGTGTTACAAGGTCATCGACCCAAGCTCACACAATATTATGATGCAGGAGGGACTGAAGTTCAAGGCCAGCCTGAGCTGCAAAAGTGACCCTGTCTCAAAACACAAACAAGGAGGGGAAAAAGTGACTATCAATGGAAATGCACTCTAAATGTAATATGCACTCCAGTTTTTTGTTTTGTTTATTGTAGTCATGAGATTACAGGACTAGTTTAAGACTTAGTATGTACAAGAATCTATAATTCTCTCACTAAAAATTTTGCATTGATTACCTGTTGAAATAATATTTTTAAATACGCTGGTTCAATAAACATTACTAAAATGAATTTTTACTAGAAGTTTTCTTTTATAGAAGCCACTTAGAAGTTCAAAGTCAGGTATGTACAAGAATTATAATTCTCTCACTAAAAATTTTGCATTGATTACCTGTTGAAATAATATTTTTAAATACGCTGGGTTCAATATAACATTACTAAAATTAATTTTACTGAAGTTTTCTTTTATAGAGCCACTAGGAAGTTCAAAGTCAGGGAGAGGAGGTTAGGTGGGGTGACCCACTCCTGTAATCCTAGCTTCTTGGGAGGCAGAGGTCAGGAGGATTGCGGTTCAAGGTGAAAAATAACTCAAGCACAAACAGGGCTGGTGGAGTGGCTCAAGTGGTAGAGCGCCCACTAGCAAGTGCGAGGCCCCGAGTTCAAACCCCAGTGCTCTCATTAAATTAAAATAAAATAAAAGTCATACTTGGAGTGAGCATGTGCTCAGTAAATATTTGCCAAATGGAGCCAGGCACTGGTGGCTCACCCCTGTCATTCTAGGTACTTGAGAGGCTGTGAAAGGGAGGATTTCGGTTCAAGGTCAGCCAGGGAAAATAGTTCACGAGACCCTATCTCAAAAATAACCAGAGCAAAATGGACTGGAGGTGTGGCTCAAGCAGTAGAGCACTGAATTCAAATCTCAGTCCCACTTAAAAAAAATTACTGACCCCCTACAGGTCTACTTGTGGCCCAATCAGCAAATCTTCAGAGGCCTGGGAGGAAGCACCACTGGGTTCCCAGCTCTTCCCAGCCCAGCCACACAGCCTGTCTGTCCTTCTTGGCTGGGCCACTGTCCCACACAGCTGTGCATCCTGCCACCAATAGAAGACAGGACCACGTGGGGACTGACTTGCACCTGACAACCAGTTAGGCAGATTTGGTTCTGAATCTTGGCCCCTTTGGAAGGTGCACAGAGCTCCTGCCATGAGCTGGGGCTCCTGAGGAGAAGGGGGACTTGGGCTGGGGTGACAGGATCCAGGACCCAGGACAGTGCAGACTACAGTCTACCCCAGCAAGTGCCCCACTATACCTCTCCCAGTTCCCCACCGCAAGCCCACTCCCTCTGGCTCTGGCCTCTCAGTCCTGGAATTAATAAAGTCAGTGAGCAGACTGCGGTTTGCAAGTCTGAAAGCCTGTTCCTGCTCACGTCACAGCCCCAGGAGCACCCCCTTCTTCCCCCTCCCCGGCACACAGGCACTTCACAGCAGTTCCTATCTCCACCAAGAGCTGGGTAGGGGACTTTAGGTCCTCAGAATTTTCATTAGCTACCCCAGTGCACCCCCAAATAAGCATACATCATATAAAAAGCTATGTACTTGCTATGCAAACATAGCTTCAGGATAATATATTCTCTCTTTCTCTCTCTCTCTCTCTCTCCTCTCTCTTTCAATCCCTCTCTCTTTCCAGGGTCTCTCCATATTAGCCCAGGCTAGCCTGGAACTCACAGTCCTCCTGCTTCTGCCTCCCAAGGGCTGGGATTACAGGTGTGAACTACCATATCCAGCTTTGGATGATTCTCCTAGCAGGTACCAACCTGCCAAAATCCTGGAGCTGACAAAACTGGAGATCCAGGGAAAGAAAGAGCAGATGCTCAGGGTCCCAAGAAAGTCAGGAAGAGAGCCTAGCCCAACAGCTACACCAAAACAGGAACAGAGCTTGCAGAATTGGTGACAGCAAGGGTAGCATTAGTTTAAAAAAAAATTAAGTTCTAGAACCAGAGTTGTCCTAGGTCCACTTGAGTCTAAGACCAGTCTTGGCAGTACTGGGGTTTGAACTCAGGGCCTCATGCTTGCTAGGCAGGTGCTCTACCACTCACTTTGCAGTCCAAGGCTGTCTTTGACGCGCCTCTGCTCCTAGCCCCAAACCCACCACAGCCATCACACTGTCTCTGTGCTCCTGTCTGGACCAGAGACATTTAACTCATCTCTCTCAGCCATCCTGGTGCAGGAAAAAGCCCCAGGACACAAGGTTCTCCACTTTGTCCTGACCAATTTGTGACCTAGGTCAAGGAAACTGGTTAGTTTCCTCTCTGGTCCTCTGGCTCCCTACAGAAGCCTGCAGGCAGAATGGTCTAGAAGGTAGGATCAGGCTGGTGTTGCCCTGGAGGGGATCTTGGGGACAGAATAGGGACCTGAACACTACAACTCCATTGGAGGTCTCAGCCTCCCCCTGAAGCGAGGGGAGGTTGTTAGCCAGATCTGGGGCGGGGTGTACAGAGACCGCAGAGGCTGTGGGACTGATCTGGGATCTAACTAGGTATAGAACGGACATGATCTTCCCCTCCACCCCATACACACCAGCAAAGCCCCCAGGGTCCCCAACACTAGGGGACCTGAGCTGGGGCTCTGGGCTCTGCTGACTTGCTGGCTTGGCTGTTTGCAAGTGCAGGTCGCCCCCTCCTGGCCACCAGAGGGATGGAAGTCGCGGGCATTCCCAGAGGAGCAGGGAGAACCAGCCAGCCGTCTGCAGCTCCCAGGTCTGATGTAGACACTGGTGTCATTCAGTGTGGAGACAGGTGACAAAGTGATAACATGGAGGGTGTCTGCCTGTTATCTGCATGGAGCTCCCACCTCCCTGGTCCCTGCTGGACACTGGGGGTCCAGCACGACCTTTGTCAAACACTAGCTAGCCTGCTCACGTCTGTGACCTTGTCCCGTGCAGGGTAGAATCAATGTATCGCGCAGGATCTCCAAACCTGTTCCGGGTGCCACCAGACAACAGCACTTTACATGGCCTTCCCTCCCAGGTCACTCTCCCAACTACAAGCCCCTGGCCTCTGAGTCCACCAGCCCCAGACAGAAACCCTACCCCATGCACAATGAAGCTGTAGCATGTCAGAGTCCCCATTCTGTCCCCAAGATCCCCTCCAGGGCAACACCAGCTTGATCCTACCTTCCAGGCCATGCCCACAGGCCTTTCACCTCTACAAAATTCACCCCCGCCCCCAGAGCCCCCAGACCTGCCCAGCCTCCACTTTGGGACAGAGCCTGTCTCTAGCCAGGCCTGGGGGTGTTGGGGTGTCTGGAGAGCCAGGGTGGGGGCCAAGGCTCAGGACAGCTGGCCTGTGTCCCCACACTGGGCCTGGGGCCCAGCGGAGGGGCGGGGGCCGCGCCTCAGGCTTGGCTGGGGCCTGGATTTTTTGGCCGGGCTGTGAGGGCCCTCCCTCCTGCTTCCTCCCAAGGGCTGTCCTGGCAGAGGCCCCCTCGCACTTTCTGGTGGGAACAGGGCCAGTGGCAGAACAGCCACAGAGGGAAAGAGGTGGGGGGGAGCATGTGTGTGTCTTGTGTGTGTGTGTGTGTGTGTGTGTGTGTGTGTGTGTGTGTGAAGGAAAAAAGCCCAACAGGTCCAGGCAAACCCAGCCCAGCAGGCCTTTCGTAACTGCCCCCCGCCGCCCTCCCCCCAGCCTCCCTCTTCCCGCTCCGCCCGCCCTCTCTCCCTCCTCTCCTCACAGCCGACGAGGCAGCAATTACGCTTTGAGGATAAAACGGGGCGCAGAGAGAAGACTGGGGCATTCCTACCCGAGATGGCGGGTCTGACAGCGGTGGCCCCACAGCCCGGAGTCCTCCTGCTTCTCCTCAACCTCCTCCACCCTGTGCAGCCTGGAGGTAAGGGCCCCTTGTCCCCCTCCTGTCGCCCACAGCCCGAGGATCCCAGCGGCTGGACTGACAGGGGGGCCTGGCAGATGGACTGGGCAGAAGGGAACCCTTCACCCCCAGGTCCTCCCTTCAGCCACTGGGCCCTGTGACCTGGTCCTCCTGGGAGCTAGCCCTATGCCACCTTGTGGGACCCTGTCAAAGGGCACCTCATCAGTCTGATGCCCCAGAAGGTCCCTGTTCTCCCAGCGAGACCCCACAGGCAGTCTGCCTACCTGTGACCCAGCTAGGTACACATGCTACTGTGGGGAAAGGAGACCTGTGTGTGAGACCTCTTAGCCACAGCCAGCTGTGTGACCCCGGCAGGTTCCTGGTGTCCCCTGGGAAGTCAGGATCCCTCTCTGAGGAAGGTCAAGGTCAAGTTCATTGTGGGATTGCAGGTTGGAAAGCTATGGTCCCTGGTGAAAATGGGTTGGGTCTCCTGAGTACGTGTGTGCACACGTGAACGGGGACTTTCGGACTCTGTCACACAGGTGTACAGGTGTGTCTACACCCAAATATGTCACTGAAGTGGGGGAGGGTCTGGAAAGGTACAAATGTCTGTTTACAAGTTCATCCCTAGGCAGGTATAGTGGGGACAGGGAGGGCGGGGAGAACACTCGTGAAGTTGCCTGTTAGTGTCTGCAAAAGTCTGCCACCCAAAACACATGTGCACATGGGAGATGGGGCGTCCAGGTGTGTGTGGGGGGGTGGAGTCCCAGCAAGGAAAGGCAAACCAGAGAAGGTGTCATCCTGGCAGCCAGGCGGGGGAGCACTGCTCTCAGCTGGGGGCATGAAAGGTGCTTCCGGCCACAGGAAGAGAGAGGTGCGAGCTCACGGGCCATCTGGAAGGGAGGCGTGGGTGGGGTCTCCTTTCCCAGGGAGTCTCCTTGCCATAGAGAACAGGGGGACTGCAGGGGGGAACAGAGCTGGGTACATTGCTGGGGGCAGGAGCTCCCAGAGACAGCTTGTCAGTACCTTGCCCTGAGTTTGGCCCCCAAACACCTGTCCACCCCCTTCCCAGACACCTGTAGTCTGGCAGTCATGAGTGGAAGAAATCCAGAAAGTAGTTGGAAGCTGTTATTTTTTACAAGGGGAGAAACTGAGACTCAGGCAGTCCGTGGGGGTTAGCTTAGGGTCCTCAGCTCTCTTCCCAGCTCAAAGGATAAGGCAACATTTGGGGACAGGCAAGCCTGGAGCCCTTTAAGGGGAAATCAGCCCTCTCCTTGTAGCTGCGGTGACATCACTGCGTGCCCAGCTGGCATCCTTCCTTACAAAGATAGATCTCGGCTCTGCCCCAGGTGGCTGCAGAGGCCAGGCTCAAATAAGGGGTTTGACCTGATGGGGTCTTCTGGGGTCTGTGTACAGAGTCTACCAAAGTCTAGAGAGGTTGGGGAGGCAGAGGGACCCCAGTCACACCCTCCCAGCTCCCCACCTGGAGGAGCCCAGCCCCATTCCTTCCCCAAAAGCCAGTGAGGTACTAATCACATTTTGTGATTAGAGTAAACAACTGTCCCCAGACCCCGTGCCATTTAAAAAGAGAGTGTGCGACATTAAATCAGAAATAACCCAACCTTGGAAATATTGGGTTTTTTTTCCCCCTGGTTTATCTCAGGGGTTTTCAACCCTGGCTAGACAGGAGAGCCACCCGGATAACTCTGAACCACTCTGGTGCTGGGGTCCTACCCAAGAATTCCTGCTGCCCTTTGGGTCTGGGGAGGAGCCTGGACAGGTGCCTCTGATGGCCTGCCAGGCAGAAAAGCTCCGGTTTAGAGGTTGATCCACTCGTGTTTCTGCTGAGGCCAAGGCAGGAGGACAAATGTGGCCCCATGTGGGAGGGGACACTCACCCACTCAGGGTGAAATTGTTTTTGGAAAGCCCTTGGTCACCTCTCCATGCAAACAACAAACAGCTTTCAGGAGGTCCCCCTGGACTTTGGTTTGCCAAAGTCCCTTGCCAAGGCCTGGCTGGCCCACTCACTGCTCAGTCTCAAACAGTCACTCAAAGATCTTTCAACCCGGAGCCCAGGGTGTGACTGGGGTCAACTGTGGGTCCCCCGCCAGGTGCAAACTGGAAAGAAACATACTTGCCTGCCTCCTAGGGCCAGTGGGAGACTGTAGCCATATAACCTCTGCCAAAAACTGAATCAAACTGGGTGCTGGTGTCTGTAATCCCAGCAACTTGGGAGGCTGAGATTAGAAGGCTTGAGGTTTGAGGCCAACCCTGGGGCCAATAGTTCTTGAGACCCCATCTCCAAAATAACCAGAGCAAAATGGACTGGAGGTGTGGCTCAAATGGTAGAGCACCTGCTTTGCAAGTGGGAACCTCTGAGTTCAAACCCCAGCCCCACCAAAAAAAAAAAAAAAAAAGTATCAAATTTGTAATATTCACTTATTTGGGATTTGCCAATTAAGGCTAAAAGATCCTTGTAGCTACAACTTTCTAAATTTAAATTCTAAGGTTTAATTCTCCCTCTCAGGAGCATCTACTGCATAAGTAGAAGAAGGAAGCAGATAGGACCAGGTGAGGGTGGCCCAGAGGAGTCGCAGGAAGGACCAGGTGAGGGCGGCCCAGAGGAGTCGCAGGAAATCCTGGAAGTCTTCCCAGAGGAAAAGACCTTTGAATTAGACCTTGAAAGCAAAAGGAATGTGTTAGCAGAGTGTGGTGGTACATTCCTGTAATCCTAGCACTCCAGTCCTCCTGGAAGCTGAGGCAGGAGGACTGGTTGGAGACCAGCCTAATGTACAAAGTCAGAGTCTGTCCCGAAAGTAGAGAGAGAGAGAGAGAGAGAAGGAGGGAGGGAGCAAGAGATACAGAACCACCTCTGCGGGCCGACCTCACAGGAGTGAGAGATGGTGAGCTTCCCGTCGCGGGAGGTATGCAAGCAGAACTAACTCGCATGTTTTACAAGGAGTCCCAGCCAGGTCAGAAGTCTGCAGTGATCCCTGAGCCTAGCATCTGAGTCCTCAATGCAGGAGTTCCGCCCTGGGCTGCTCACAGAACAAAGCCAAACCCACATAAAACAAGACAAGTGTTGCAGGCAGGAAGAGCGGGGGCTCAGGGAAGGCAGGAGGGAGAGGAGAGACGGATGCAGAGAGGGCATTCCTGACAGGATGGACTTTGCTCCTATGCGGGAGTGGAGGTAGAACTGAACCCACTGGGCTGGGGCGTGTGGAGAGAGTGTGCTACTTTCCGCTATACCGCTTGGCTTATTTAATTCTCACCTGTCCTGTGCTTGAAGAAAGACAGGCAAAGATCCTTGCAGTTTTCCAATTCCTTTGTATGAAATGGGAATCAAAAAAAAAAAAAACACCAGCTCCAGGACAGGCAGCAGCAAGGTGGCTCACACCTGTAATCCCAGTTACTCAGGAGGTGGTAGGAAGATCACCACCCAAAGTACAAGACCCTATGAGAAAAATAACTAAAGCAAAAGGGCTGATGGAATGGCTCAAGTGGTAAGAGCACCTGCCTAGCAAGTGTAAGGCCCTGAGTTCAAATCTCACTGCTGCCAAAAAAAGAAGAAGGAAAAAAAAAAAACCACCAACTCCCCAGACGGTTCTGTTTCAGGCGTGGAGTTCGGCCAATGCTTTGGGTTTGTGTCGTGGGTGTGGAGAGGGAGGAGAAGATGAGAGCTGGAGAGACGGAAAGGGCGGGGTGTGGGAGAACAGAACCCCAAGAGGAAGGAAGTGGGGTTCAGCCAGACCAGAGAGCTTGCCGAGCCTAAAACCAGAAGGCTCCCAGGCCACTTGTGACCAGGGGACCCTCTGCCTGTCCTCCACATCACTCACCCACCATGATTTTGTGTGTGTGGTACTGGGGTTTGAACTCAAGGCCTTCACCTTGAGCCACCCCACCAGCCCTCTTTTTGTGTTAGGTATTTTCAAGATAGGGTCTCATAAACTATTTGCCTAGGCTGTCTTTGAACCTTGATCCTCCTGATCTCTGCCTCCTGAGTAGCTAGGATTACAGGCATGAGCCACCTGCACCCGGCTCATCCATCACTTATTGATCACCTATTGTTTCCCTGGTCCCAGGGCCATGGACTGTGTAGCAAAATGGGAGCGAAAGGAAAGCATTTTTTGTCAATCAACAAACACTTTATTAGCAAAAGAGACAAAATAAGTACATTGTTCTTTTGATTTTTTTCTTGGGGATAGGGTCTCACTATATAGCCCAGACTGACCTCAAACTCTTGATCTTCCTGCCTCAGCTTCCTCCTGAGTAGTGGAATTACAGGTGTGTAATTTGGTAAAACCCTGCATGGTTTCACCAAATTTTTTTTAAAACCAATTACTCTGCCAGGTGTGGACAGGCCACAGACTCCTTACTTGAACCTTTGCAACCTTATGAGGCAGTGAGGATCAAACACATTGCAGAAAAGCAGAGCGAGGCTCAGAGAGGTTAAGTGACTTGCCCAAAGTCACACAGCTAACAAGAAGCAACAAAACCAGGATTTAGAATCCAGAGGAGTGGTCTGGAGCTCCTGGCTCTTCCCACCCAACATGTTCCCTGCAGTCTGCTAGAGGGCTGGAGACCAGAGGACAGGGAAGAGAGGACAGTGAGGAAGGAGGGACAGAAACCACAGGAAGAGAGAGACAGAGAAGGAAGCATGAAAGTGCTCAGAGCTGGAGGCCGGAGCCAGGGAAGCCATCAAAGGCCCGAGGCAAGCCATGTGTGGGTTTGGCAGCTGACAATGGAGCCAAAGTGATCATTCCCAGAAGGCCCAACCCCTGGGGCCACCGCTCGGAGCCCCCAAGGCTCTGAGACATTCTTCAGGCCTGAAATGACGTCCCTGGGTGGAATGGGGTGGGGGGACAGTCCTGGAGGGATGGCACCCAGCTTTGGCATGAGTGTGGTCATGACAGCCGGGCATCACCAGCCCTGCTGGGCTGCAGCTGACCAGGGCTGACAAGGCCCAGAGGCCGCGGGGCCATCTGTGACATGTCTCCAGGCCTCTGAGGCCAGACGTCTGGACATGCTACAAGGCTGCCTGCGTGACTGTCCCCCAGCAGCCTGTGGCCCTGAGAGACTCCCAACCACCACCACCCCCTCAGCAAAGGCTGACCAAGGCAATCAGCAAGGTGACTTGCCAAGGGTTGGTGACAGTCCATGGTAGAGTTCCCAGTGTGGCGCCCTGTGTGTTCCCAGGACCACAGCTTTGCCCCAGGTCCCCAGCCAGCATCAGAGTCTCCAGCCAGAGCTTCATGGGTCCGTGGGGACTGAACCCGTGACCTTGGCCAGGGAATTAGCTGTTCCTTAGGAAGCTTGACTTTGCTCATTCGTGGTGTTTCCCTCGCCGGGCCTCCAGCGCCTCCTAAAACAGCCCTGGGGTCAGATGGCCAGAACCCCACCCAAGTATAGCTGCCCAGCGGCCAGGATGGTGACCTCACCCCCTCCTATCAGTGTAGAAATGGCTGGGATGCAGTCGACAACTTGCTGTTTGCTGTCTGCCCTCCCGTGACCCTGGCTCTGGCCACACTGCTCGGCGCCGGAGAGCACTGTGTGCCCAGGGCTCCTAGTACCCAGCCCCGTGCAGGGCCCTCTGCCTTCCAGGACAGCCGGATGGATCCATGTCATCCACGTTGCTCACAGGAGGGACCTGAGCTGAATCCAGGCTCTGTCTCTTTCCAGCTGTGTGGCCCCCGAGACTGCTTAACCTCTCTGAGCCTCATTTTCCCAGCTGCTAAAACCACGACCATAATCCCAGCCCTTCCAACCTCAAAGGCCACTTGGGAAAGCAAGAATGTTAAAAACGTAAGCCGGCTGTGTGGTGGTGCACGCCTGTAACCCCAGCACTTGGGAAACTGAGGCAGGAGGATCTTGAGTTCAAGACCTGCCTGAGCTACATACATAACAAGACCCTGCCTCAAAAAATAAAAAGGAGTCAGGCACCGGTGGGTCACGCCTGTAATCCCAGCTACTCAGGAAGCAGAGATCAGGAGGATAGAGATTCAAAACCAGCCCAGGGAAATAGTTCACGAGATCCTATCTCAAAAAAACCCTTCACAGAAAAGGGCTCAAGTGGTAGAGCGCCTGCCTATCAAGCATGAGGCCCTGAGTTCAAACCCCAGTACCACCAAAAAATTTAAAAATACAAAGTGAAAAGAAGAAAGAAAAAATGCAAACAGAAATGTGTTTGGCCCGCTGAAATAATCACTTTTTTTGCCATGGTTTTATGTGCTTGGCTAATGGAAAATTCTACTTCCTTCCTTCCAGGGGTTCCAGGAGCTGTACCTGGAGGAGTTCCCGGAGGGGTCTACTACCCAGGTAATGTGCGCGAATTGTCCTCACAGCCACGCAAGGCATGTTAAGATAAGACACACACACGCCCACCACTGAGGACCCACAAGGCAGGCCCAGTTAAAAACGCAGTCAACACGCGACACTGCTTCACAGCAGAAACGATCTGAAAGGTGAAACACAGTCCTGGGGAGGCTGTTGGGAGGCGGGCATCTTCACGAATTCCTCCCGTTTTACTCACTCCTAGAAATGCATCGGAAGCAAATTACTGAAAATTTGCTGGGTCCAGTGTCACACACCTGTAATCCCAGCCACACCGGAGGCTGTAGGTTGAAGGATCGGGGTTTGAGACCAGCCCCCTCTGGGGGGCTATCTGAAAAAATAACTAAAGGTCAAAGGGCTGGGGGTGTGCCTCAAGTGATAGAGCAGCTGTGTTGCAAGTGTGAGATCCTGAGTTCAAATCCCTCCTTTTCCCATTCCCCCCCAAAAAAAGAAGAGAAAAAGACCAATGCTAAAATCTGTAAAACCAGGGGCAGGTGGAGAAATGACCCAAACGATGTATGCACATGTTAACAAAAAAAGAAAACTAAATGAATAAACAATAAAATAAAATCTGTAAAACCAGAAACGTGACAGAAGGGAGTAATCAAGTGAATATTAGATAGCTATGTATGTGGTGTGCAAGAGAGAGAAGTAGCTTTGTTTTGTTTTGAGACAGGGTCTGACTATGTAACCCCAACTAGTCTGGAACTCGCAATCATCCTGCTTCAGCATCCCGAATGCTGAGATTACAGGCGTGAACCACCGTGCTCAGCTGTAGTAGAGTGTTTTTTTGAAGTAAAAATAATATAAAAACAATGATATGTACATTTGAAGATCTCGGAAGAGAATGAGCAAGATGTTTGGGTGATGACATGCGGTGGGGGGGGCTCTTTTAATGTAGACAAGAAAAGCAGAATGCTTTCAAGTTGATTAAAAAATTGAAAAGTAATATATGCAATACTTGAAAGGTATTTCAGCCGGGTGTGGCAGTAAAGCCTATAATCCCAGAAGCTGAGGCAGGAGGATTGCAAATTCAAGGGCAGCCCATGCTACATAGTAAGACCCTGCCTCAAAGAACCAAAAAGAAAAAAGAAAAAGAAAAAGGAAGCAGAAAAGTTATTTGACTGTTCAGAACTAACATGAAGTGTTCACAAACTGACCAATGGGTTGGACACGGAGACTAAGACTTGCCCAGGGCCGTGCAGCTGGACAGTGATGGATTTGACCATGAGTAGAGGGGTGACTTGTCTGGAAAAGGTACTGATCTCTCTCTCTCCTCTCCTCTCTCTCTCTCTCTCTCTCTCTCTCCTCTCTCTCTCTCAGGGGCTGGTCTTGGAGGCCTGGGAGTAGGAGGTGAGCTCAAAACCCAGTCCTGTCTCTTCACTGAAGGGGTCTGGTGTCACCTTGTACCCACCCACAGACCAGAGAACCCCAAAGGACCCAAGCATCAAGAGTCCCTCATTTTACAAAGACAGCATCTGTGGGGAACAAGAACCCAGGAGCTCCGGAGTTCCCCCAGCTCCCTCTGCCCCCGCCTTAGCCAGGGTCTGGGTCAAGAGGATGAGCCTCGCCTGGACGTCATGAGGTCCCAGGATCCACCCCCAGTCCATCCCTGCCCAGCTAGCTGAGAACTGGGGTTTGGAGAGTGTACACCACAAACCCAGGGCAGAGCGGGGTTCCTAGTGGCTCTGTGACCAACAGGGAGGACCGTCCCTTCCAGGGCTGGGGGTGAGAGACCCCCACAGTCCTCACTCTTCCCAGAGTAAGACTGGGGGGGTGAATGAGTCCTTAAGAGGGGTGGGGTGGGGCTCCCTGCTCACCACCATGTCTTCCCTCCACAGCCCTGGGGCCTGGAGCCAAACCACCCAAGACAGGTAAGACCCGGCCAGGTAAGGCCTGGCCAGGTAAGATGCAAGGACTCAGAGGCCTCTGAGAAAAGGCAGAGAGGCAGGGGAGGGAAAAACCAACAGAGCTGTGAGCCAGGCAAGAAGCCAACAGGTAGGAGGAAGAGAGAGAATGGTGGACAGGGGCAGCACCCAGGTATCAGCAGCCCAAGGTCAGATCCCAGGGCTCCCAGAGCCAGGGGCTGCAGGCAGCAAAATGTCCCACTCTCGTGATGAGCACCCGGCCTCTGCCCAACAGAGACCCATGTGACAGCTCCCAGAAGCCTCAGAAACAGCCCTCGTGCTACAGGCAGACATAGAAACTGAGATCCCAGTGGCCCCCAAGCCTGTAAAATGGCACTCCAGACCTAGACACATTTGGAAGGTGCTCCAGACGCCACCTGACCAAACCTGAGCTTGGCGGAACCTGACCTTGACCCTGCCTGCTTCCAGCCCCCTGCCAGCTGGGTCCAGACCTTGGAGTTTTCCAGTAAGAAAGTGTTGATAGGTCTGTCCTGGCCTCACCCATGGGGGACTGAAATCAGCCACCAAGAGGCGCTCTCAGCTCTGGGGAGGGGGCCACCCCCAGAAAGGGGAAACATTGGAGGGTAAGGAACAGGTGGAAGACTGTCCATATTTACACACACGCTCCCTCCGAGTGGGACACTGCACAAGTGGCCTTGGCGTCCCCACCCTTTGCCGTGCCGCCCTGGCTCTGAAGTTCCGCATTGGAGAAGAGTTTGGATGTCTCACAGCTCTTACGAAATCCTGATGGTCACTGATCCAAGATCAAATGATTCTCGGAGACCCAGATTCCCTTTTGTTAAAGACCATCTGGGCTGCGAGACTCCAGAGCTGTGGCCGGCAAGAGTGGCGTAGGGCAAGGTGTCTGGGCACAGAGGGTCCTGGGGTCTTTAAGGGTCCCTGAGGCCAGGAGATGCTGGGGTTTGCTGCCTTTCCCTGCCAAAACCTGAGTTTGTCTTCCTGGAGGGTCGAGGGCTCTGAACAGTCTTTCTTTGATGGTAGAGGGGAAGGATGGACACAGATGGGACCACGCTTAGCCTAGAAGACCCCAGAGTTAGAGGTCATGGTTCCAAAGCTTCAGGATGCCCTGGTTGATCCACTGACAGCAGAAGAACCGTGACAGGTTGTCACTACATGCTAGAAGGAAGACCGAGACTTCTGGATGCAGAGTGAAACTTTTACGAATGAACAACTTAAGTCAGACTTCCGAAAGAACTTCCAGCTGAAGACAAAGAAGTGCACTTAGAGGAAATTCAGAGTATCTCTTCAGGAGGAAGAGGGCACTGTCCAAAGACAAGAGACTAGAGTCCGTGGCCTCCTCCCTCAGGTCGTGTTTCAGTCTGAGGACTCAGATTTACAAAGGCCCAAAGGAAAGCACCTACATCCTGGGCTGGGGGGCACATCCGGGCCTGCCCAGGCAGGATGAGATAGGGCATTAGGCAGTTCGCCTGTTGTGCTTGGGAACAATTAATCCCTTGGCAAGAGAGGGTGGGTGGCCTGGCAGCGGCTCCTTGGTGTGGCCCCACCCTGCCTTGACTCTCAGTGGGGGACCAGGCAGCTGGGAGTCAGCAACACCCACACCCACAGCACCAGCTGGAGGCCAGCCGCCCACCAAGACAAGTGTGGGCAAGGACAGGAAGGGGCTAGGGGGCACTGCCTGGGCACCTGGCAGGTCACACACTGGGAGCTGTCTGCTCCCAGGCTCCCTGGCCCTAGGAAAGTAGAAAACACGCAAGCCACAAGGACATGGGGAAACTGAGGCTCAGAGCAATGACGTGACTTGTTCGTGCACACAGAGAGTGGATAGGGGAGGCAGGATCTGAATCTAGAACTTTCTGAGTTCAGAAAGAAAGAAGGTGGACTGAAAGGGTCCTGAACTCTCCCAGCTGTGGTCATCTTGTTCCCTTTCTCCTCCTTTCCAGGTGCTGGACTTCTGGGGGCATTTGGAGCAGGTGAGTCCAAAGGGAAGTGGGTGCCAGATGGGACCGTGGAACAAAGGCCAATGGCCTGACCCCACCTCGGTCACAGCCTCCTCTCACTTCCTGGCCGGGCCCATCTTCCCCGTCAGCCCTTCTGGGGAAGGAAAGGTCTGAGCATGTCCCCAACCCTCTGGGAACTCAGGAAACAGGGCTGTCTGGAGAGAAACCGATGACAGAGCCGGGAAGGGGAAGGGGAGGTGGTGTCAGGAAGTGTTTCTGGTGGCCCCACACCATCCAACCACCACACTACCCCACATGGGAAGGACAGACCCACCTGACAGAGGTCCAGGTCACCCAAGTAGGAGATGAGAGGAAATGGCGGGTTGGAACAGAGACCATGCCCGGGGGAGCCAGCTGGACCCCCACAGGGCTCAGCAGGCCCTGTGACCGGAGCTCTGGATCCTGCAGCCCGGGCTGGCACTTCCAGGACAGACTCCCCGTAACTAGAAGCAAACCTGGCATGGTCACGAACTCCAACCTGACTGTCCATGAGTCCCAGCCAAGGCTGTGGAATGTCTCCTGGAAGGGGGTTGGGGGCGGGGGAGAGATTGGGCCCAGATGTAGGAAAGCGAGAGCCAGAGGGACCCACTGGTTCCTGGACAGCAGGGCAGGCTAAACAGAAAGACAAACAGATGGTGGGGAACAGAAGGGAGTCCCAGCCCCAGGTGAAGGGAGAGGGCTGAGTCAGGACACACCTGCCGGGAAGCAGAGGAGAGGCCTGGAGTGGGGTAGCGCGTGGACAAGGCCCGGCCTGGCCTGGGTGAAGTCTTGCTCACAGACAGTTCAGCTCTGGCACCGGCTAGATCCTGTGTGCTGCTGGGGGTCTTATGAGACACACAGGCCCGGCCCAGCTTGTTAGGGATGTTTGTCACAGTCATGTTTACCTGGTCCCTGAACTGTGGCTGCTATTTAACTGTGGCTGCTATTTCATTAGTGTCACCACACACATACATGGAGTACCAAAACTTACAGACCTGAGTTGCCATATGCCAGTCAGGTCCCCACTCATGAGGTCCCTCTCACACTGAGCACCAGTCTATTCTCACCACCTGTCTCTTCCCTACAGGCCCTGGAGGGCTCGCGGGCGGTGGCCCTGGAGCAGATTAGTGTTGACACCCGCACAAGATGCCCCTTTGGGGCAGGTGCTGGTGCTCACGCCTGTAATCCCAGCTACTCGAGAGGCAGAGATCAGGAGGATCAAGGTTCAAAGCCAGTCCTGAGCAAATAGTTTGTGAGACCCTATCTCAAAAAAAAAAAAAAATCACAAAAAAACGGGCTGATGGAAAGGCTAAATAAAGGTGTAAGCCCTGAGTTCAATCCCCAGTACTGAAAAAAAAAAAAAAAAGATGCCCCTTTGGGGTGAAATGGCAGCCCCTAAGCCCAGCCCATGAATCTACCTGGTGCAGAGAGCAGTGAGGATAGAGCACAAGCCAATTGCTGTCCTTGGCACGGATGACAGGGAATTGATGCCACCTGCCCTGAGCACAGGCAGGGGACAGATGTCGCAGGGGACCCTGGATACGGTTACAATGTAGTGATGAGGGTTCAGAATACAGGCAATTAGGGGACCCAGGGCTGGCTTACCAGGGGACAGAGGAAGGTATTTTGGAGGAGGCAGATGGACACTACCCAGAAGACCTGCACAGCTTGTTCAGGCTGAGCAGAGCAGCCTGACACAGTGACTCCAACCCGGAATCCGGTCCTGGTGACCGGTCTCCTCGTGGCCCTTCAGACCTACAGAGTCCAAGGTGCTTCCTGAGTGTGGACAGGGCTGGCGGGACTGGGCCTTGGCAGTGTGACCACGCAGGGCCTCTCCCCATCCTCTCTTCCACAGGGCTTGGGGCCTTTCCTGGAGGCGCCTTCCCAGGAGCTCTGGTGCCCGGTGCAGCTGCCAGTGCAGCTGCTGCTTATAAAGCTGCAGCCAAAGCCGGTGAGTGACACTCTTTGGGCCCCTGGCTTCCCTGTGTCCCCGTTTTGGAAAGAACCATCCCTTGTCCAGGCCTGGGAGGAGGTGAGCAGGACCCTCAACTCCAATCTGCTGAGGCTGGGGAGACAGCTTCTTGTGCTCAGTCCCTAATAGGTTGATGGACCCTCCAGGTGTGGTCCAGGGCCTGTTTGCCTTCCAGCATCCTTTGCGTGCTCCCTCACCTCTCCCCCTCTGGGTTCTGCAGGTGCTGGACTGGGCGGTGTTGGTGGCTTAGGAGTGTCCACAGGTATGGTGGCTAGGCCTGAGTTTCCTAGGTGAAGCCTGCAGGCCCAGAGAGAGCCAACACTGACGTGGTCTCTTTCCACGCAGGTGTGGCAGTGCCTCCGGCCGGAGTGGGAGTTGGAGTCGGAGCTGGCGGAAAGCCTGGGAAGGTGCCCGGTCAGTGTGGAATCCTGGGGGGCTGGAGGGCAGATGTCAGAGGGACCAGAGCCAACCTCTGCCTCCATCACACTGAAGAAGAAAAGGCAGGCCGTGGCTGTCACAGGGCAGGGGACATCAATCCAGGCCACACAAGTAGATGAGACTGAGGAAATTGCCTTCCAGACCCTTCTCTTATAATCTTGGAGCAGAAAGAGACCTCAGAAACAAGTTCTGTGACAGACTTGGGTGACAGATGGGGAAACCAAGGCTCAGAATGGAAAGGAGGGTGCACAGCTGGTCCCAGCAGACTGGGGTGAACTTGACACCCATCTGGAGCTCATTTCCCTGCACCAAGCTCTTTAGGAAGTGACTTCAGGTTAAACAAAAGGCTGCCTGAGTGCACACAGCAGGAGGGGACATCTGGAAGCTGTTAGCCAGAGGTGGGCTGACTGGGCCAGGCTCAGGGTAAACAGCCTCCAGGAGACAGAGATAAATCCTTGTGCAGAAGAGTTTGCAAGATGACTTCTGACAGCCATGGGAGGAGGCTAGTCACCCTTTGTCTGTCCTCTGTTGCCCTGACATTCACACAGGCTGCTGGTCCAGAGACCCCTGGGGCTACCAGGGTGGGAAGGCCTGGGAGGGGTCTGAGCTGCTGCTCACAGCCTTCCTCCTTCTCGCCTTGCAGGTGTGGGACTCCCGGGTGTATATCCAGGTGGTGTGCTCCCAGGTGCAGGTGAGCACAAGAAGGAGAAGGGGGGTTTCTAGAAAGAAAACAGCCCCGTCAGCCTCCCTGGCACCCCCACCACCCCCCAAGCAGAAGCCACCAGAGGCCTTGGGTCCTGGTCCGTGGCTGTTTCTCTAAGTGTCAGAGCCCCAGTAGTGGACATAGGTCCCTAGCATCAAAAGTCAGCTTCCTAGGCTGGAGCTGGTGGCTCACGCCTGTAATCCCAGCTACTCAGGAGGCAGAGATCAGGAGGATCACAGTTTAAACTCAGCCCAGACAAATAGTTCATGAGACCCCCATCTCAAAAAAAAAAAAAAAATCACAATAAAGGGCTGGCGGAGTGGCACGAGGTGAGGGCCCTGAGTTCAAACCCCAGTACCACAAAAATAAAAATAAAAATAAAAAAGTCAGCTTCCCCAGCCCAACCCCCAATCCCAGGCCCACACCCTTGTCACAGTCTAAGGCAGGCCCCGAAGGACAGAGTGGGTTCCCAGTATGACCAGCTGTTTCCCAAAAGCTGTGAGTCACCAGAGGGCACGCCCAGCCAGCCTGCCCTATGGGAGACCCTGACAGCTGCCCCTTTGCCTCCCTTCCTTACCAGAACCTGCCACCCCACCCAATATATGACCTCTTAAAAACCCCCCAAAAGTCCAAATTCAGGCCATTCTGCAGAGTTTGCTAGCACAGAGGTCCCTATCTCCACCTCCCAGGAAAGGTGGCCCAGCCCCAGGGGAGACAAGAAAGGTGGGAGTTACTGGCTCAGCCCAGGCGCTGTCCACATCACACTGGCTTTGGATGGATTTGTGATTAGCTCAGTTTAAGAATGAGGCCCACTGAGGCACGAGCTCCTTTTGATGGGAAAACTCAGAACTTGGGCTAGGAGTGGAGCTCAGAGGTAGAACACTTGCACAGCCTGCCCAAAGCCCTGGGTTCCATCCCCAGCACCACAAACAAACGAAAAGAAAAGAAAACTCAGATTTTCTGTCCCTGGGCCAGGCAGGCAAGGAAAGTCCCCAAACAAACAGGTCCTTTGTCTCCTGCCTCATGGCCCTCGCCTGTGACTGGCAGTAGTACTGAGATCAGTGGGGGATCCCAGGCAGGATGGGGGTGCTAAGCCTCATCTTCATTCCCATACCCATCTTTGCCACTCAGGAGGTCGGTTCCCTGGTGTTGGGGTGCTCCCTGGAGTTCCCACAGGAGCAGGAGTCAAGCCCAAGGCCCCAGGTACGTAGCTGGCTGGGCTAGGGACCCAGGGTAGGACACCCTACTTGCCTGCAGGTCCCTGTGGTCTGGGGTATGGGATGCGAGTGGGAACACCCAGCTTGCCCCAGGCCCTCTGGGTAGGCACTTCACTTGCCCCAAGCCCAGAATATGTAAGACGGCCACTGTCCAGGACTGTCTGTCTGGCACCAACCAGTGGAACCCATGTGCCCCGCCTCCACGGTGCAAGGATAACAGTTTTATATCATTGCAGGTGGAGGTGGTGCTTTTGCTGGAATCCCAGGTAAGGCAAGGCTGGACCCTCCAGGTGGGAGGGTGGGAGGACCCACAGGTAGCCAGCACAGCCCCAAGAGAGGGTAGGTACCCAAAATCCCACCCAAGCCTGCTCAGTTCCCCTCATGCCCCCCACTTCAGGCCTGACTTCTGCACAAAGTGGCATCAGTCACAGTCTTGCCTCCCACCTCAAACCCCATCTGTGTAAGGCCCAAAAGAGCCCCAAAAATCCAGCAGTTTGTGCCAGGGGTTTGAGGACTGTAAGTTTGAACTAGGTCCTGAGACCCTGGCAACTTCTTGGAGGAGGTGGCCTGTCATTGGGGAATGCTCCACTGACCCACAAAGGACAGGCAGAGGGGAGCTCCAGGCAGAAGCAATGGGGAGGAGCTCATTCTGTCTGCTCAGAAAGAGGAGCACCAAGGAACAGGAATGGTGGTACACACCTATAATTCCAGCTACTCAGGATGCAGAGGCAGGAGTATTTTAAGTTCAAGGCTAGCACAGGCAAAGTTAGTGAGATCCTGTCTCAAAAACAAAACACAAACAAAAGGGCTGGGAGCATGACTCAAGTGGTAGAAGGCTTGCTTAGCAAGCTCAAAGCCCTGAGTTCAAATCCCAGGAATCTCAGGTAGAGAATTTAGAAGGGGCTGCTCGCCAAAGAACAGAGCCCAAATTTTTGTTCTCTTTATTTTCACAGGGGTTGGACCCTTTGGAGGCCAGCAGCCTGGTGTCCCACTGGGGTACCCCATCAAAGCACCCAAGCTGCCAGGTAAGTCAGAGGGAGGTGTCAAGGGGTTTGACTTGGCTGGGGTGTAGTGCAGAGTTCATCAATAACATGTGCAAGGCTGTGGGTACTATCCGCACACACACACACACACACACACACACACACACACACACAGGCTGGGCTCCTGCTGAGAAGTCAAAGTCGGCCTGAGGAGAATTTGTTTGGCCTGTGATTCTTCCGATGGGCACCAGGGAGTCCCTGGGTATTGAAGTCAGTTCTGATCAGCCAAAGAAAGCATGAGGAAGTAGTCCTCAGGGGCAAGACACACACATGTGCACACCTGTATGTGCACACACAGAGGCCCATAGCCCTGATGGGAATTCATGGTCATTATGGCAAGAAACAGGACTGGAGCCGGGCACCAGTGCCTCACGTCTGTAATCCCAGCTACTCAGGAGGCAGAGATCAGGAGAATGCCTGCTCAAAGTCAGCCCCAGGCAAATAGTGTCTCAAAAAAAAAAAAAAAAAAAAAAAACCATCACAAAAGAGAACTGGAGGAGTGGCTCAAGCAGTAAGAGGGCCTGCCTAGCAAGTGCGAAGCCCTATGTTCAAACCCCAGTGCTGCAAAAATAGAAAAGAAAAAAAAAATCCTCTGATGTCAAGCCAGCCACACTGCCATCCCATCAAGACCTGGCTGGAGCTGTCTCCCTCCTCCACCCGAGAGCCTCTAGCCGCAGCTCAGGATCCTTGAGCTAGGTAGCTAGTGACCCAGCAAGGTATGGGCAGCTGTGGGGTGGTCCCTGAGCCCACCCTGCCTCTTCTTAGGTGGCTACGGACTGCCCTACACCAACGGAAAACTGCCCTATGGTAAGGCATCCTTTCTGCTGGGCCTCCAGCTCTTTCCAGCTCCAGGGACCAGGCAGGGTGCTCCAGCTCCACCTAGATGGGCTGGGGGAGGGGTGGGTGCTGGAATGAGTACCCCCCCAAAAAAAGAACACTACCTGAAAGTTAGACTCACCTTGACTCTCAGTCCTGGCCCGTCACTTATCATGAGGGCTCAGACAGCGTCAGTGTCTATAAAATGGGTATAATGTCCTATGCCCAGGTTCATGTTCGTTTGCACTTTGGCTGGGGGTGACAGAGAGACTTGGGACCTGAGGGGGGGCATCGGAGGGATCTGAGAGCAGCAGGTGATCACCAAGCCTTCTCTATCTCACAGGTGTGGCAGGGGCAGGGGGCAAGGCTGGCTACCCTACAGGGACAGGTAAGGAAAGCCTCACCCTCTTGCAGCCAAAGAGGCACTGGTTACCCCAGCTCCAGGGTCTCTCTGAAACGCAGGCCAGCCCCTGGTGAGAACCTGGAGGTAGATCCAGGTGAGGGGGCAGCTCTGCAGCCTGTCTGCTGCAAAGCCCCCACCCCATGCCCAGGGGTCCAAGTGGATTGTCCTGGGACTCACGCACTGGCCCTCCCTCCCCCAGGGGTCGGCTCCCAGGCCGCAGCTGCAGCAGCCAAAGCAGCCAAGTATGGTGAGTGCCTTGGAGGGCCCTGCCAGCTCCCAGTCCCCACCTCCCCGTCCTTGTTACTCCTACTGAGAGCTGTTTCACAGGCAGCTGGCCACCCTGCCCCACCCACCCCACCTATCCATCTATCCCTCCCTCCGTCTCCATCCATCCATCCCTCCATCCATCCATCCATCCATCCCAACATCCCTCCATCCATTCATCCATCCTTTCATCCATCCCTCCATCCATCCCTCCATCCATCCCTCCATCCATCCATCCCTCCATCCATCTCTCCATCCCTCCATCCCTCCATCCATCCATCCCTCCATCCATCCCTCCATCCATCCATCCCTCCATCCATCCCAACATCCCTCCATCCATTCATCCATCCTTTCATCCATCCCTCCATCCATCCATCCCTCTATCCATCCATCCCTCCATCCATCCATCCCTCCATCCATCCATCCATCCATCCCTCCATCCCTCCATCCATCCATCCCTCCATCCATCCATCCCTCCTCCATCCATCCATCCATCCCTCCATCCATCCATCCCTCCATCCATCCATCCATCCCTCCATCCCTCCATCCATCCATCCATCCCTCCATCCATCCATCCATCCATCCCTCCATCCATCCCTCCATCCCAACATCCCTCCATCCATCCATCCCTCCATCCATCCATCCATCCATCCATCCCTCCATCCATCCATCCCTCCATCCATCCATCCCTCCATCCATCCCTCCATCCATCCATCCATCCATCCCTCCCTCCATTCCCAACATCCCTCCATCCCAACATCCCTCCATCTATCCATCCATCCGTCCATCCATCCCTCCCTCCATCCTCCCTTATCTCCACTCTTCACTCCTTCTTCTACCCATCCATCATCCTTCACTCCCTGTCTCTCTCTCCCCCACCCACCCATCCATCCGTCCCTCCCTCCATCCCTTCCCCCATTCTACTCATCCATTCATCCCTCCACCCATTCCTCTACCCTTCCCTCCCTATCCTTCCATCCATCCATCCTTCTTTCCTTCCTCCCTATCCTACTCATCCATTCACCCTCCATTCCTCTACCCCTCCTTCCCTATTCTTCCATACATCAACCTATCCTCCATTTATCCCTTCCTCCCACATATACCCTTCCCCAACCCACCCTCCCCCGTTCCCTCCCCATCCATCCATCCACTTTGCCTCCATCTATGGCCTCCCTCCATCTTTCCCCATCCCTCCCTCTCTCTATCACTACATCAGTTCTCCCTTCCTCTCATTCTCTCCCTCCTTCTTTCCCTCCCTCCCTCCCTCCTTCTCTCCCCCCATCCATAGGGAGCAGGTGACATCTTGACTGGACAATGAGGGAGGCATTATTTCTCCCTGGGGAAAATTAGGGACACTCCCAGAGAAGCCAGCACTCGGTTCAGATCTTAAAATAGAAGCGGAGTTTGCCATGTGCTTAAAACAGGAAGGAGAAGCCCAAGTAGAAGGGTGCCTTGGGGCTGGTGGAGTGGCTCAAGTGGTAGAGCACCTGCCTAGCAAGCGTGAGGCCCTGAGTTCAAATCCCAGTACTGCCAAAAAAAGATGCATGGAGGTTAGAATGATAATTTTAGGTGGTATCTATATGAGCATTTAAAAAATACAATAGTCATGATCCATTTAATTTCTACTATAAAAATGTAACTCACTCAAGTCTACAATCATTTGGAAAACCTTGCTGTGCCCATGCGTTCTGCAGAATGAGCACCTATCTCCCACCCCAGGAAAACTTCCAACTCAGGTCAGACGACTGAGGGGCTGATATCCTTTCCTCTGTCCCCAGTACCAGAGAGCCCTTATCTCCAGAGGGGGACAGAAGACAGCTCCCTCCAGCCCAGAGGCAGGGTTATGGGAGAAGCTGGGACCTGCCTCTTGGAGGTCCCCCCAGGCCTCCCTCTAGACATGGAGGCCCTTGGCCCACTGTAGCTGTGGGGCTGGCTGGAATGTGGGAGCCAGAGAGCTGGCGGCCAGGGGCTGCCAGAGTAAGGCAGCCAGGCGCTTGGATTGTGAACTTGGCCGAGTCTCCAGAACACAGGGAGAGGAAGCCTTGAACATTCCTTAGGGGGCCCCTCTGGCCCAGGGAGCGGTCGCTTGTGGTTTCTCCGTATGTAGCAGTGATTAGAGCGGGATTTGTCTGAAAGCATCCAACTCCCTTAATGAGCGTGTTGAAACAGACACTTTGAGGCCAAATCAAGAACTCTGGGGTGGGGACCTTCCCAAACAAGCCCAGCTGGAGAGGCTGGGGACCTGGCTCCCCCAGAGGCTAGGGCTGGTTGAAAGGCTAGCATCCGGGTGGCCTTCCTGCCCGGCTCAGGAAGGGACCATGGGGAGTCACATCGCACTGTCCCTGTCCATCAGGGGCCGGTGGAGCTGGAGTCATCCCTGGTGTTGGAGGGCTTCCTGGAGGAGCCGGCGCCATTCCTGGGATCGGAGGCATTGCAGGTAGCGTCCATGGCAACTAGGGACGGAGGTGTCCTTGACAAGGCCACCAGGACAGCACCTCACCCTCTGTGGCTGTCTTTCCAGGGGCTGGGACTCCCGCAGCTGCAGCAGCTGCAAAGGCTGCTGCGAAGGCCGCTAAATACGGTGAGTGTCCCCAGGCAGTACCTTGTGGATGCTGGGGACTCCAACTCACGAGGCTGGAGGGACTCTGCCTCTGTCCACCTACGGAGTCCCCTACCTCAAACAGAAGTGCACGCCTGCACCTGGGCTGCCACCTCCTGGTTCTCCGTGGATTGGCTCTGCAGGGAGAGGGGACCATGGGGAGCACCTGGCCCCTTCCACTTTAGCCCCACCCAGGGCCTGGGTCCCCACTGCAGGAATTCTGATTTGATTTAGAAATTGATCCTTTTCTTCCAAGTCATAGATTTAAACCCCAGAACTCCTTGGGGCCTCTCTTAGTGTCCTCCCACCCGCCTCCCCTGACCCATCTCTCTGATGAGTTGGATCCCTGCAAAGGAGATGTCAGTTCACCTGCATGTGATCCTGCACTCAGGACTGAGTGTCACCCCAGAGTTCCCCTGGATCCCCTTCCCTGGGAGGCCCACCGAGGTTGCCACAGAACTCAAGCAAGGAAGACAGCCCTTTTCCTTTCACAGGAGCTGCTGGAGGCTTGGTGCCTGGTGGGCCAGGAGTTGGGGTCCCAGGAGTTGGGATTCCAGGAGTTGGGGTCCCAGGAGTTGGGATTCCAGGAGTTGGGGTCCCAGGAGTTGGGATTCCAGGAGTTGGGGTCCCAGGAGTTGGGGTCCCAGGAGTTGGGATTCCAGGCGTTGGAGTTCCAGGTGTTGGAGGCCCAGGCATCGTGGGTGGACCAGGTAAGATGGGCTTTGTGTGTGTGTGTGTGTGTGTGTGTGTGTGTGTGAGAGAGAGAGAGAGAGAGAGAGAGAGAGAGAGAGACAGACAGACAGACAGAGTACAATGTAGAGACTAGTGCCAAGACATGAATGTTCCTCACTCATCCATCTGTACTCTTGACTGTGCCTCATCCCTCATCCTTCCTTCCTTGGCCTATAACAGCCCCTAATTATCTACCACCACCAGCATCACCTCCAATTCCCCTTCTGGCTCTCAGTGAGCCCTAGAGAGCAAGAGCTGTGTCTTTTTCATCTGTGCTCCCAGCCCTTAGCTGAATACATGCTCACTAGCTGGTAGACAGGTGGCTGGGTGGGTGGATGGACAGATGGGCAGATGGACAACTGAGTGGACAGGTAAGTGGTCATGTGAATGAGTAGAGAAACTGATGAAAAAGGAGTGAGTACATGGTCGGATAGAGGCAAGAACGATGTACATACGCGGATGACCAGATAGAGGAGTTAAAAAGTAGATGGAAAGATAAATGGGTATGGAGAAAAACAGATGGATAGGTAGGTAAGGAGCTACATAAGTGGTTAGAAAGATAGTGAATGGACAGATGGACAGATGAGTGGATGGATGGATGGATGGATGGATGGATGGATGGCTGAGTGGGTAGACAGATGAATGGGTGGATGGATGGAAGGGTGGGTGTGTGGATGAATGGACGGATGGATGATTGGATGAATGGATGGATGGATGGATGGATGAGTGGATAGCTGAATGGATGGTTGGATGGATGGTTGGATGGATGGTTAGATGGATGGATGGATGGATGGATGGTTGGATGGATGGTTGGATGGATGGTTGGATGGATGGATGGATGGATGGATGGATGGATGGATGGATGGATGGATGGATGGATGATTGGATGAGTGGATGGCTGAATGGATGGTTGGATGAATGGTTGGATGGATGGATGGATGATTGGATGAATGGATGGATGGATGGATGGATGGACGGATGGTTAGATGGATGGATGGGTGAGTGGATGGCTGAATGGATGGTTGGATGGATGGATGGATGGATGGATGGATGGATGGATGGATGATGGATGAGTGGATGGCTGAATGGATGGTTGGATGGATGGTTGGATGGATGGATGGATGATTGGATGGATGGATGGCTGGATGGATGGATGGATGGATGGTTGGATGGATGGATGGGTGAGTGGATGGCTGAATGGATGGTTGGATGGATGGCTGAATGGATGGTTGGATGGATGGATGGATGGATGGTTGGATGGATGGATGGATGGATGGGTGGATGGGTGGATTGATAGGTAGATGAATAAATGAATGATTGAGTGGATGGCTTGATGGATGAATGGATAATTGGTTGAATGAGCATATGGATAGATGGATGAGTAGGAGATAGGTAAATACAAAATGGATAATTTGAAGAAGATTACATGAAGGCAGATGGTGGAAAAGTTGATGGACAGATGGGTGCATGGGTGGATAGAGAGTTTGGTGGGAGTTAGCTTGGGTGAGTGGATTAAAGTCCAAACACAGACAGACATCCGGTTCAGTGGATGAATGGATTGGTGAACAACTCTATGTTGACTGAATACATAGCAGATGTACCAACAGACAGATCGATGAACAGAGGAATATGTATTGAGCATCTCCCTCCATTCTCTCCTGACCATTTGTGTCCGCCCTGGTCTCTCCAGGGGCTGTGTCACCAGCTGCAGCTGCCAAAGCAGCCAAATACGGTGAGTGCTCGACCCCCACCCCCACCCCCCCACACCCCCAGCTCTACTTCACCAGAACTAAAAGAGGAGAGCGATTTACCCAGGTCACAAAGCAAGTCCCTCACAGAGCAGGACTAACAGGAGAGTGTCTCCCTCGGTGCATCTGCCACCAAAGGAGCCTTGGTCTTCTCCAGTGGGGACAGTTCTCTGCCCTCCCTGCTCTAGCCAGAGCCATCTCCCAGGAATCCAATCCTGGCTGAGGATAAGACCACTCACAGTATCCCCCAACAAAGGGGTGCTGCCCCAAGAAGAGAGAAGTGGGGGGAAGAAAGGCTTTGTGGAGGAGGCCAGTCAGGGGCCCAGACATCACAGTTCCCTGTCCCCATGGACCACACTTGGGGGAAGCATGCGCTCTGCTTCCCTACCAGCCATTCCCCAGAGCCCACCCAGTGGCTCTTGCTGAGGTCTTTCCCACTGGGTTCTCTTCCCTCTACAGGGGCCCAAGCTGGAGTCGGAGTCGGAGGCATTCCTACCTATGGGGTTGGTGTTGGGGGCTTTCCTGGCGTTGGAGTCGGAGGACTTGGAGCTGGTATTTCCCGTGAGCCTCAGTTGCACCCAGTGGAGTGGCGGGGGGCTTCCCTTTCCTTCCCTTCTTTTTTTTTCTCGGTACTGGAATTTGAACTCAGGGCCTTACACTTTCTAGGCCTGTGTTCTACCACTTGAGTCATGCCCCCAGCCCATTTTTCCTTAATTATTTTTCCAATTAAAATAATTTTTCCAATTATTTTTCAATAGGCTCTTGAGTTTTTGTCCAGTTCTGCCTCAGACCATAATCCTCCTATTTATGCCTGCCTCATAGCTGGGATGACAGGCATAACCACCATACCTGCTTTGTTGATTGAGATGGAGTCTTGCTAACTTTTTGCCCAGATAGCATAGTGCTTCAATGGTCCCAACCTCTGCCTCCCTGGTGACTCGGATTACAGACATGAGCCATGGCATCCGGCTCACAAAACTTCCCTTCTGCCAGGCCATGGAGAAGTGGGAGGGACAGTGGACTTTAAGGTGCTTGGGAAGGGTGGGGAGAGGCAAGGGATCTCAAGGGCTCTTTCTTTGCTTTTCATTGTAGCTGCAGCTCAGGCGGCGGCTGCCAAAGCTGCCAAGTATGGTAAGTAGCCCTGCCTGTCTGTCCCCAAGCCCTTCTCTCCCAGGCTAAGAAGGCTAGAGGGAGCTCACACTCAGGCCTCCAGGACAAGGTGGCAGGGCCACAGTCTCCCACTTTCTAAGTCATGCACAGTTCTTCTGCCCTTTCCAGTTGCCCACCGTTGGAATTATTGGCACCCAATTTACAACTTCACCCCAAAATAGCAAACTGGAGGTGCCAGGTAGCCCTACTATTCCTCCCACCTCCTGTCCCCTCCCCCACACAAGACATGACCACTGAATACTTTTCTCTTCTCCAGGTCCTGGGGTAGCTGGAGCCCTGGGAGGGCTGGTACCAGGTGCCGTACCAGGTGCTGTACCAGGGGCCATACCAGGTGTTGTACCAGGGGCCATACCAGGAGTGCCAGGCACTGGTGGAGTGCCAGGTGAGCTGTGTCCCCAACCCAGATATGGGATTGGTTTGTCCCATGGAAGAAGTTGACAGTCACCAGTGTGTCGTTTTACAGATGGGAAAATTGAGCCCAGGGAGGGAGAGGAGAGAAGTCAGTTTCCTCTACCGAGTCCTCCTTCCCAAGTGGGGAGGCTCAGGAATGTCAGCCGACCTCACCGGCACAGCCCAGCACTGCCTGGGACCAGGTGGTCCCATGCCCTGAGCCTCTCTGGTTCCTTACAAGTGGAGGACCCAGCACCCTTGCATCCTCTTGGGTTCTTTCTCCTCCACAGTCAGAGGCCAAAGAGAAAAGATTAAGAGACCATGACATTCAGTGACACCCTGTTTTGGTTTTTGGTTTTGGGATTTGGTTGGGTTTTTTCCCCCTACCAGAATATTTGTCTTCTGCATTCTTTCTTCTTTCTCAGAGAAAATTCCCCTTCTGAATTTCCTTGAGACATGAGCAGGAGTCGGAGGAGTGGCTAAGTGGTAGAGGGCTTGCCTAGCAAGTGTGAGACCTGGGTTCCATCCCAACATGAGAGAGAGAGAGAGAGAGAGAGAGAGAGAGAGAGAGAGAGAGAGAGGCAGAAAGAGAAATGAAAGGAAGGATGGAAGGAGGCACTGGTGGAAGGAGGAAAGAAAGGTGTGGTGGTGCATACCTGTAATCCCAGCCACTTGGGAAGCAGAGGCAGGAGGACTGTGAGTCCCAGGCCAGCCTGGGCTACATTGCAAGTCCCTGTCAAGAGAGAAGGATGAGGGAGAGGAAGAGGGAAACAGGAAGGTCATTTCCTGCGATAGTTTTGGACGAAGGTACTATCAGGATTTTTTTTTTTTTAACATCACAAGCAGAAAGGTTCACACATCTTTCAGGGCCTGGTTTGGAAGGGGGGAGGAGCACAGCACTGCAAGCTCCCTTTCAGCCCAGGGCTAGAGCCCATAGACTCACGCCTGCTTTTCAGGTCTGCACTGAAGACAGAGGGACAAGGATAGGAGCCCATGGGCTGGGGGTGTCCAGAGAGCCAGGCCCAGATGCACTGAAGGGGACTTATGTGGGGAGGATGGGGGAAATTCCGGGAGGGATGGGTGACAGTAGGGACCACCCCGTACCCTCTCTCTTCCCCCATCCAGGAGTGGGGACCCCAGCAGCTGCAGCTGCCAAAGCAGCTGCCAAGGCTGCCCAGTTTGGTAAGTGGCCCCACCTGTATCCCACCCTTTTCCTAGAGTGTTGCTCTCTCCTGTCCCCTGTTCAGGGGTCTGTCACATTCTGTTGTAGCTTTTGTCCCCTATGGTCCCATTTGCGGGGTACAGGTAGTGTTTCTGGTTGGGGAAGCAGCGTGAGATGAGGCCCTGGTGACCCCCCAGGATCACCAGGCTCCCCATCGCCTTCCCTGAGCCCCTGGACCTCCAGTGCAGCTGGATCTAGCCCTCCTTCTAGACCTCGTGCTGGGGTCCTGCCTTACTCCCTTGAGTTACCACAATCCTGATTGCTCCCTGACAAAGTTCCCCCATCTCTTGGTACATCTGAGGGCCACCCCAACAGTTCCAGGTACACACACTTTCCTGAGCATGGCCTCTTTGGAGCCCAGCTGTACTTCAGACCATGGGCTGGGGGGTCTGTAAGCCTTGGCCTCTGGAACCTGACAGGTAACAAGGTTCAGACCAAAATCTTCAGGGCTGATTAGTACCCCCCACCAAAAAAAAAAAAACTCCTTAACTTCAAGTTCAAATACCCTTGGCCGGGCATAGTAGTACACATCTGTAATCCCAGCTATTCAGGAAGCAGAGGCAGGAGGATCAGGGGTTTGAGGCTTGCCCAAGCAAAGTTAGTTAGTGTGAGACTCTATCTTAAAAACAAAATACAAAAAAAGAACTGGGAGCATAACTCAAGTGGTAGAGCTTTTGCCTAACAAATATGAAGCTCTGGCCAGGCTCCAGTAGTAGCTCACGCCTGTAATCCCAGCTACTCAGGAGGCAGAGATCAGAGGAACACGGTTTGAAGCCAGCCCCAGGCAAATAGTTCAAAGACCCTATCTTGAAAGATGTCAGGACAAAAAAAGGCTGGTGGAGTGGCTCAAGGTGTAGGCCCTGATTTCAAATTCCATACTGCAAAAAAAAAAAAAAACCCTGAATTTGCACAAGCTTCATGTCAGGAAGAGGAAGCGGGGCTCCGTCAAGGGTCAGGGTCATCCAGCAAGCGACCAGGCCAGGGCTGGAATGAGACCTGCAGCTCCTGACTCCCAGCCCAGCAGCCCTGCCTTTGCTTCAGACAATGAGTTTGGGTCTTGGATGAAGTTCTGCTGTTCCTACTCTCACAGGAGTGGGCCCTGGCATCGGTGGTGTTCCTGGCGGTATTGGCCCTGGTGTAGTTCCTGGCACCGGCATTGGCCCTGGTGATGTCACAGGTGAGTAGCCTGAGTGGACCTGGGGACAGGCAAGGGGGTCCCCTGAAGCCTCCCTAAGCTTCCATTCCTGAACCCTTTCTCTCCCTTCAGGAGCAGGGACTCCAGCTGCAGCTAAATTAGCCGCCAAAGCTCAGTACCGTGAGTGTCCCAACGGCCTCTCTCCCCTGTCACCACAGAGCTCATGGCTGGCCTGACTGGCCAGCTAGAGCTGGGCCCCAGGAAACACAGCCTCTTAGACCCACCCTACAGCAGGCCAGGGCTCAGAAGCACAGATTCTGCAGGAGGGAGACCTGGGTTCAAGTCCTGACTCCCGAGCTATAGCTGAGTGAACTCTGGGGTTCCCTGTACTCCTGCATCAAGTGTGGGTGTTGATGGCATTTATCGTATACAGACAGGTGTTAGAATTAAATAAGTTCACACAAAGAAAGAACAGGAAGTGAGCCAGGAGAGGGAGTAGGGTCCACAGTGGGCAGCCCTGAGGCCCATCCTGGGACAAGACAGCCTTAGTGGTGAATGGAGGGATCTTAGGAAGACCATTCTAACACAAGGCGTGGTGCATATGTCTATAATCCCAGCTACACAGGAGGTGGAGGTAGGAGAATCAAAGCCCAAGGCCAACCAGGGCAAAAGTTTGAGACTCTCTGGAAAACAAACTAAAAACAAAAAAAAAAACTGGGGAGCGACTCGAGTGGTGGAGCACCTGCCTTGCAAGTGTGAGGTCCTGAATTCAATACCCAGTACCACCGCCATGAAAAAAAAAAAAAGACAGTTCTAACACAGCATGGAGAGTGAGTGAAGGGGGCCAGTCTGCTGATGGGGACAAAGCCATGGAGGAGGCCACTGCTGACTGGGCTCCAGGGCAGGACACCTCCATAGGGGCATCTCCCCCAGACAGCTGCCACCACCAACTGCTTTCCTGTCTGCAGGAGCTGCTGCTGGGCTTGGGGCTGGCGTCCCTGGATTTGGGGTTGGTGCTGGTGTCCCTGGATTTGGGGTTGGTGCTGGTGTCCCTGGATTTGGGATTGGTGCTGGTGTCCCTGGATTTGGAGCTGGTGCCGGTGTTCCTGGGCTTGGGGCAGGAGTAGGTAAGGAGCTTCCTAGGTGAGTAAAAACTGCCCCTGAGCTCAGAGGAAGGAGACCCCTTTTCCTAGTGTTCTGCCCCAGGATGTCCTCACCCCCAGAGGTGCACGCTACACCCTCCACTAGGTTTTCCCCAGCTGTCACAGGCAACTGAGGCAGCAGATGGGGGAAGGCGAGGCCACACTGGGTCTGGAGGGGACAGGACAAGAGGATGGAAGGAAAAAACACAGTTCAGTCCTTAAATACCCTAGAGCAGATTAGCACTGGCACAAAGATACTGGAGCCCTGCATCTGGCCGTGGGAACGCCTAGCTGGGCAGCTCCAGGACTGTAAGGAAGCTTTGTAGGAAGAGGAAGTCAAGGTGGGCTCCCTAGAGGAAGCAGCAGATCCCAAGGCACAGAGCTGACACCTTTTCTTTTCCCCTAGCACCTGGAACCCTGGCCGCAGCGAAAGCAGCCAAATATGGTGAGTGCAGCCCCATACCCTGGTCCCCCGGCACCCTTGACAGCACAGAGCTGTGACAGTCAGGACAGAAAAAGGCCATTTGTAGGCCAGGCATGGTGGCTCCTGCCTATAATTCCAGCTACTGAGGAGGCAGAGGCAGGAGGATCACAAGTGTGAGGCCAGCCTGGGCAAAGTTAGTGAGACCTTTTCACAAAAACAAATACAGATTGGGGTGTAGCGAGGCCCTGTGTTCAGTATCGAGAGAGAGAGAGAGAGAGAGAGAGAGAGAGAGAGAGAGAGAGAGAGACAAAAAGAAAGAAGGAAAAGGCAGTTTCGGAGACATATGAATGACAGCAACAGACCTGGCACCTACCCACTAAACACCCACTAAACACCCACGTGCCTCCAACCACTATGACAACCAAAAACACCTGTCACATGTCCAAGTCCCCTGGGGACAACTCTGTCCTCAGTAATGGCATGGGTCCCAGTAGGTTGGGGCTTTAGGCTGCCTCTGCCTCCTCCCAAACCTCTGGCTGAGCCGAGCCTCCTCCGGGCCCCCCAGGCCCCTCCCTCCCTTCCTGCCAGCAGGACACGGCCAGCGGGCCAGCCTGGAGGACGTGGCAGGTCTGCCTGCCTTGCCACTTGGCGCTCTGGCAGCCCAGGCTGGCCAGACTCATGCTGTCTCTGGCTCCGCATTCCTGGTCTCTTGGGAGCCAGGCAGGGGGCCTCAGCCAGGGCTGTGCCAATTGGCCTCAGTCTGTCCACTTGGGGCCAATTTCTACCTCGGAAAATCCCAGCTTCCTCAGTCACCTCCCCCTCCATTGCCTCCACCGTGGCCCCTGGTCACCCTCGCCTCCTCCTGGGTTCCTTGCTGGCTGCTCGGGAGTCCACAACCAGGATTGGGCTACTGGACTACCTCCCACCCGTGCACCCTCAAACACATGGCTTCATCCGCTCTGCCTCCCCTTTCTCGTCTGAAAAACAGGGTGATGGTGGTCCCCATCTTTTGTTATAATGCGTAACAGTCAGGCTGAAACTTGGAGTTTGAATACCCATAATAAGGCAAAGGAGAGCCGGGTGCCATGGCTCACACCTGTAATCCCAGCTACTTGTGAGGCTGAGATTGGGAGGATCACAGTTAGAGGCCAGCCTGGGCAAATAGTTCTCAAGACTCCATCTCCAAAATAGCCAGAGAAAAATGGACTGGAGGAGTGGCTCAAGTGGTAGAGCCCCTGTTTTGCAAGCTCAAAGCCCTGAGTCCAAACCCCAGTCCCACCAAAAAAAATAATAAAAGTCAAAGGAATGGGTGTCATCATACCCTACAAAGAGGTGGGGACGTGGCACTCAGAGAGACCACAGTTATGACAGGTGGAGAAAGCAAGGCTTGCATGGGATTCGACCCTAGGGCTGTCAGGAACTAAGATGAGGGACCAACACTCAGTAGCTCATGGCCACCACTGTTATCCATCCATCTGTGGCTCCTGGCACAAGCCCAGGGAAGAGGGAATCAGGTCAGCCTGGACTACACAGTGAGGCCCTTCCTCTAAATAAATAAATTAATAAATAAGAAAACATGGAGGTGCCATTGCCCACAGGTGCAGCAGGAGCCGGGGCCCTTGGAGGCATTAGGGGTCTTGGAGTCCCAGGCGCTCTCGGTGGAGCAGGTGTTCCAGGCGGTATAGCAGGTGAGTTGTCACCCCAGGCTGAGCTGGGTGGGGAATGAGTCTGAGACCCCTCCAGATGGTCCCTCCCTGAGTCCTTCTGTCTGCGTCCCCAGGAGTCGGACCCGCTGCCCAGGCTGCCGCCGCCAAAGCAGCGGCCAAAGCCGCCCAGTACGGTGAGCACAGACTGGGTTTGAGGGAGCCCCTGACCTGTCCCCCAGGCTCCTGGGGCCCAGCCCACCTCCTGGCCCCTGTGTGCTGTCAGGGATCCAAAGCCCTGGCCTCACTCAGGCCTGGGATGGCACCTCGTCCCCTCTGCAGACAGTCTGGTCACAGTCCCCTGATCAGTGGGTTGACTGTCCTGCTCTCTCCACAGGTCTTGGGGGAGTTGGGGGACTCGGAGTTGGGGGACTTGGTGTTGGAGGACTGGGAGCTGGAGGAGTCATCCCAGGCGCTGGGGGCCTTGGAGGTGAGGGCTGCTGTGGAATCCATGAGTGGCTTGTGTGTGACAGACAGACAGACAGAGCAGACCCTTTCTTTCCTGCCCGAGACACCAGTTCAGCCCTTCCCAGCAGGAGACAGCAGGGGAGGAAGAAGGACATGGCAGAGTCAGCATGGGGCCAGCAAGCTGGGGATCCTGGGCAGACCTGGAGAAATGGTAGACCATACCATCTAAAGCCAGATTGGATCTGATTGTCCACTGTTCCTTACAAAGGTTTCTTAATTGAACACATGCCACCTTTTTCGAGGCCCTTTATATATGGTAGCTTGTACCCCGTTTTTCAAGCTGTCCCCTCCAACCCAGTCTGCCCAAGACCTCCGCCTCTCCCCCAGGGTGGCGAGGGCCCTACCCTCTCCTCTGGGATTCTGCAGCACTTAACTGGAGGCTTAAGCCAGGCTTGGTGGTGCATGCCTATAATCCCAGCACTCAGGAGGCAGAGGTAGAAGGATCACAGTCAGAGGACAGCCCAGGAAAAAGCATGAGACCTTTAATTAAAAAAAGAAAAAGCAGCTAAAGCAAAAAGGGCTGGGGCTGAGAGGGCATGGCTCAGGAGGGCTGCCTAGCAAACACAAGGTCCTGAGTTCAAACTCTGGCACAGAAAGAACCTGCCCAACCCCTGCAAGGGAGGGTTCTTTGGAATAATGATAGATAGTCAAGGGACTGGAGGTGTCTCTCAAGTGGTAGAGTGCCTGTCTAGCAAGTGTGGGGCTCTGAGTTCAAATCGTGGTACCACCCCCAAAAAAAAACTTTGAATGATAGACCCATTTTCCAGACTTAGAAATCAAAGAGTGGAGAGAAAATTACTTTCCCAAAGTCTCCACCATCCTGGCAGACCTGTGTTGACACTTCCTTCTCTCTCTCTCTCTCTCTGTCTCTCTGTCTGGTGGCCATCAGGTCCTCCCATCTAAACTGGCCTGTAAAACTTCCTGTGTGCTCTACAAGACTGAGCACACAGTAGGAGCATAATAAAGGCTATTGTATGCAGCAGGGTGGCAGCATGTGCATGGACAAGTCAGGGGCAGAGAGTAAATGATGAATTGATTAGCAATTAGCAGAAGGCCTCAGGGAGGGACAGAAGTGGCATTCCTGAGCGCTCGGGTTTCCCCTCCCTCCAGGTGTGTCCCCAGCCGCAGCAGCTAAAGCGGCCAAATTCGGTAAGTGTGCCCCCAATGCCCTGTCCCCTCCCAAACCTGCTGGCAGCTTGCACCCCTATCCCTGTCACCAGGCTCTTGGTCTAAGGTGTCCCTGAGCCCATCCATCTGCCCTCTTCCAAGGTGCTGGTGGCCTTGGAGGCGTCCTCGGAGCCAGGCCATTCCCAGGTGGAGGAAGGGCCAGTATTTAAGTTCCAGTCAGCTCTGCCCAGTTCTAGAGGCACCTGTCTGTCTAGCAATGAAGCCATGTCCACAGGAGGACTCAAGTCTGGGGAAGTAAACATCCCAGGCAAAGGAGCAGGCCCCAGGGTTGGGGACAAGGCCAGCCCAGCTTAGAGCTGAGGCCATGGGGCACCACACCAGGGTGCCAGGCAGGGAAAAATTTGATTGAAAAAGCTTTGTGACTGAAGTGGGGATAGGGAGGAGGGTGTCCCAGACAGAAGGCCTGGGTGACAGGGCCACAGCAGGACCCACCTCCACCTGCCACCAACCACAAATCTCTCCCCCAGGAGTGGCAGCAAGACCTGGCTTCGGATTGTCCCCCATTTACCCAGGTACAGCTAGGTCCCTGTCCCCCAGGCCTTGTTCTGAGCTCTGCCAAGACTGCTCTACCTCCTGCTGGGAAGGGTATCCAGGGGTGGACCCCATGAAATGTGACCCCAAGCTGATACAAGGGTGTCCTTCGTCTCCCTCCCTCCCCTCCGCAGATGAAGAATGCCAGCTTTCCTATCACACATTTTGTGTGATCCGAGGTCTCCACTCTGCAAGGCACACTGCTTAGAGTGAGCTGGGGACTGCTCCAAGGTCACACAGGAAGCTGACGCAGAGCAGGGCTCTGGGCTTTGGGCTCCCGTGGCCCTTGGCACACTGCCTGCCCTGCTCCAGCCTCAGCTGGGCCCTCACTGTCAGGAAAGAAAGACTTGGTAGGCCCCAGATTTAGGGACACTCACAGCTCCTCTCCTTGCCTTGTAGGTGGTGGTGTTGGAGGCCTGGGATTTGGTGGTGAGTCAGCCAGAAAAAGGCATTTCATAGCGGGGACAGGGAGGGGGGGACTTCCGTGGGATGGAGAGTCCCATTGAGGGTGTGGCCAGTGGTGACCATGGCCTCTGGTTTGGGAAGGGGACCTTGAGGTAGCCCCCAGGGGAATCAAAGATGAAAATTCAGCCCAGACATGTAAGGACCCAAGTCACAGATTCCTCGGACTCCCAGCCGGGACTGAGTAGGCACCTGTAGCAAGACAGGGACCTGGTCACCCTGGGGCCTCTGGTCTAAAATAGACAAGATCCCCTAAAGGGGGGAAGAAACTGTGAGGGGAGGCCCAGAGTCCTTCAGTGGACCAGGCAGAGCCCAAGGCTCTAACAGATGGGCTGGGGTGCCCACCAAGCTGTCCAGGCTTCCAGGGGCAGCCCATCAAAAGGCACTGGAGCCAGGTACCTATAATCCTAGCTACTTGGGAGGCTGAGATCAGAAGAATTGCAGTTCAAGGCCAGCCCAGGCAAAAAGTTCCTGAGACCCCATCTCCAAATTAACCAGTGCAAAATGGACTGGAGGTATGGCTCAAGTGGTAGAGCCCCTGCTTTACAAGTGTGAAGCCCCGAGTTCAAATCCCAGTCCCACCAAAAAAAAAAGGACATAGGCTTAGGTCTGGGGGAGAACATAGTTAGCCCACCCCCTCCCCAATTCCACCTTCCCACTACAGGAAAAACCCCAAAGTCCTATAGAGGGGCCCTGGGTACCCGGAGCTACCAAGATGAGTGACGGTCGCAGGAAGAAGCTGGGGCCCTGTCTACCAGCCTGGGATTAGGACAGGGGTGTCACACTTGCAGAAGAGAGGGATGCTGTAGGAAGGAATGACTGGATACCTCACACCAATCCCTTCTACCTGCGAGGCAGCCATTTAGAGCTAGGAGCAGACCCAGGCCCCTCCAGGCTCACCCTGAGCCAAGCAGTCCCAGAGCTGCTGCCCCCCGCCAACAGGGGGATCCTGAAGGAAAAGTGTAGACCTGGCAGGAACATGGAAAGAGAATGGGTGGGACAGAGCAGAGCCCTGGAGTCAGGGAAATTCACAGTCTTGCTTAAAGATGCAGACACAGCTGGGAGTGGTGGCTCACGCCTATAATCCCAGCTATTTAGGAACCTAACATCAGGAGGATGATGATTTGAGGCCAGCCCAGGAAAATAGTTCTTGAAATCCCATCTCCAAAATAACCAGAGCAAAATGGACTGGAGGTGTGGCTCAAGCAGTAGAGTGCCTGCTTTGCAAGTGCAAAGCCCTGAGTTCAAATCCCAGTTCCACCAAAAAAAAAAGTGCAGACAAGCATTGGAGGAGCGTAGAGGGCAGTTTCTTATCACCATCTCCCAAGGTTCCCCGGATACCCCTGGGGAGCCCCAAGAAGCCACAGCTCTGCTCCTGTGGTTTGCACTACCCAGACGAGGCAGACAAGGCCAGAAGTAGGAAGGGCCAGGGACAAGACCAGACTGACCCTTCCCAGGGTCTCCTTGGGCCCCTGCTAATCTTGTGATCCTGTCACAAGCTTCTCAAACACTCAGGATGAGCTTCCGAGAAAATTGCCTTGCCCTGTTTTTGCCTTTCCCCTCCCTGGTCGTTCTGCTCTCTGCCACCAGGTGGCGGTAACAAGCCAAGTTTAGCTCCAGCAGGTGCAGGAACGGTGGCAGTGCTGCCTTCCTGTTACAGGCTGGTACCTAGACATGAGTCTGGCACCTGATGGAAGTCCCTCTGAGCTCTTCCCTAAAACGCTGCCCAGAAGCAGTAGACTCAGAGCATGGGAATCTCACCTGGTCATTCCCCCACCTGAATGTGACCTGTCCCCTTCCCATTCTAAGCCTAGATCTCATGGGTGATGTCTGAGTCTCTGCTCCCATTCCTGGCGTCCAGTGCAACTTTGTACAGTGGTCAGATTTTCCCTGGGCTGTAGCCTGGCTTCTCTTGGCTTCCCTGAGCTCCTGATGGAGGTGGAAAGGACAGAGCAGGCAGGAGTTCAAAAAGCAACCCAGGAGCCGGGCGCTGGTAGCTCACACCTATAATCCCAGATACTCAGAAGGCAGAGATCAGGAGGATCAAGGTTCAAAGCCAGCCCTGGGCAAGTAGTTGGAGAGACTCTAGCTTAAAAAACTCCTTCACAAAAAAAGGGCTAGTGGAGTGGCTCAAGGTATAGACCCTGAGTTCAAACCTCAGTCCACAGGGGAAAAAAAAGCAACCAGGGAAATTGACTACTGTGGGCTTCCCCCTGACCCAGGTGGGGCCTGCTTGGGGAAGTCCTGTGGCCGAAAGAGAAAGTGAGCTTCCCAGGACCCCTCACTCACGACCTCATCAACGTTGGTGCTACTGCTAGGCGGAGAATGTAAGCCCTCTGTGACCCCCACCCCACCCCTAGTCCCCACCTGGGAGGGGACGGCAGGCCAGCAGCCTTGAAGATGCACAGGACAAGGACACAAGAGCAGTGGCCGTGTGCCCCAACCAGGAAGCCCCCTACTTCAGAGGCCAGGGTGGATGGGCTCGGGCCCCCTGCCCCACCCCCACCCCAACCCCAGAGCTCCCCCACCCCGCACAGTCTCCATCTCCAGGGGAAATTGGTGCTACACGCTGGTGCTTCATCTTCCTGGGGGGAGGGAGGAGGGAGGGGCAGCCTTGGGGACCCCCTTCCCTAAGGCACCCCTAAAGATGGTGCAGATACTTTCTGGGCAGTCCCCACCTCCCCCTGCCCACCAGGACACCCACCCCTGGCTGCGTCCAGTTGGTACCCAAGCATCAAAGCCTCAAATGCTGGATTCGGTCCACCATTCCCTCTTTCCATGGATCCACCTGGGACTCCCCCGCCCCCCTTCTCCTGTGCCACAATGGCTGTTTCCCAAATTTGGGCACTTGGAGTCACAAGACCCCTGCTCCCTTCATTGGGAACAGATCCCTCGATCTTATGGAATCTATCCATCCATCTGTCCATCCACCTGTCCGTCCATCTGTCCATCCATCCTTACCCCCAGTTGATTGCCCAGTGCCACTTGCTGTCTGGGCACATCCACCATCAACCTGGTTCATTTATCATGGCAGCCTGTGCCCTGCCCCACCCTCATCATGCACCCCCGTCCCCCCCAACACTGGCCCAGTGTGTGGGGGCCGTGCGGGCTGGGGTAGGGCTCCCCCCCCACGCAGTACTGTATCCCCATCTGTCCCTCGAGCCACTGTACTACAAAGCATGTCCCCCAGCCCCGCCTATCTCCGTGTGGCTGTGATAGAACAATAAATATTTTATTTTTTGT